AGCACCTTGCTCATTTAAGAGGTTGATGGTGGGTCTTCCAGCTGAACGTGAGTGAACATTTAAAGGCAAATTTAGTCTTTTGGCTAACTGGACCTGTCTGATTAGAACTTGTCTTTGTTCTTCTTTCTTCTCATCAGTGTTGGCAAATCGAGGAGAAAAATCTAACCCGACCTCTCCAATTGCCAATAACTGATCCTTATACTTCTCAATAATGGGCAAAGCATCATCCAAATCCTTTAATGTGACACTTCTTTGATCTTCTGGTAGTCCTTGAATTGGGTGAACACCCAAGCACAGCAGGATAAATCCAGAATACCTTTCTGAAAGCTTCATAATCTTTTCAAATTCTCCTGAATGTTCAGCAACTGCCACAAGGGCCACAACATTGGCCTCCTTGGCTTTTTCCAATACATCATCGAGATCGTGGTCAAAGTCGGGGGCGGAAAGGTGGCAATGACAGTCCACTAGGCCCAGTGCCGCTGCCTTCATCTTCGCAGCCGCAGCCTTGGCCACGCCCACATCTTGCACTTCCGGTAGTCCGCTGCTGGGGTCTAGGTTTTAAGTCACCTCTTCTGGTAAAAAAAAAAAAAAAAGAATTTTTCTCTCCAGATATTTAAGTTAATAACATCATTCCACAGTAAGGTGAGTCTTAAAAGACATCATGCTGAGGAAAGTGGAGAGTCAGAGAAAGAGAGGAAGACCATCAACAAGATGCATTGATGCAGAGACTGTTACACTGGGTTCACACATACCAGAGATTGTGAGCATGGCACAGGATAGGGCAAGGTTCAGATCTGTTGTTGATTGGGGGTTGCTGAGTAATGGTCGACTTGATGGCACCTAACAACAGCAATTCTATAAGACAGATGTCTGTACAGAAAGAAAACAGACACAGTGTCACATTGAGTCACAAATCTAGGAGGAAGATAGATGCTATATGATGATGAAAGACAGCTGCATCTGTAAATAGCAAAAGAACACCCAAGATGACTGACAGCCACCAGAAGAGGATAAAGACGTGGAATATTCTCTCAAAGTCCTAAGAAGGAATTGACATAATTGATATCCTAGTTTGAACTTCTAGCCTCTAGAACAGGGAGAAAGTAAATTGTGTGTGTGTGTGTGTGTGTGTGTACTGTCAAATCAGGTCTGACTGGTACAGGAGGAGATTGTCCCTCCTTCTCCAGGAGAGCATCTGGTGGATTCGAACCATGCACCTCTGAGATTGCAGTGCAGCTTCTTGCGAAAGTAAATTTCTGATCTTTAAGTCACCTACGTTGTGATATTTTGTTATGACAGCCTTAGGAGATTAAGTTCTTGTACGGCAATGCCGTAAGTTTGCTTCTCTCACCAGTGAGCAGCATTCATTCATCTCCACTTAATAGTAAATTAGAAATGTCTTGTGAACACGACCTTGCTCTCTGCCAAGTGGAATAATTGCCATCTAATAAGGAACCCCGAGTGTCAGAGCAGAACTGTGCACCAGGGGGTTTTCAATGACTGATTTTCCAGAAGCAGTTAGGCCTTTCTTCCAAGGCGTCTATGGGTAGACTTGAACTTCCAGCCTTTCAGCTAGCATTTGAGCATCTTAGCCATTTGCACCAAACAGGGACTCCTTGCTGTATGTATAAAACCTTGGAATCATATACCCTTTTAGAGTTTGAAGAGGGTGCCTGACATTTAGAATGACAAATTTGTTCTGCTTTGCCTGGAACTTTCTCAGTGATTCCACTGTGGTTTTTTTAAATCATACAATGTTTTTTGTTGTGTATCACTGAGTTGGAACCAACCCATAGCTGATGCTGCAGCAAGTTTTCAGAGGCAGGAAATCACATAGGAGGAGACTGCTCATCTTTCTCCTGTCATAGAATGTCTTAAATACCAAGGGGGGGGGGAATTAACTCTCTCTCCAAAAAAGCCAAAAATTTAAAAACTATCAAGCCCATTGCCCTCAAGTCCAGTCTGACTCCTGACAATTTTCCCAGGCTGTAAGTCTTCATAGGAGGAGACTGCCTCTTTTATCTCCTGCAGAATGCATGCCTGGAGGATGCCAATTGCCAACCTTTTACTTAGCAGCCCAACACCTACTAAACTACCACAGGGACATAAGAAAAAATCCAAGCTAGTTTTTGTTATATGCTGTCAAAATAGAACGGACTCCTAGCTAAGCCTCTAGTAGAGTTAGTAGGGCTTTTCTCAGTTGTTACTTTTAATTTTTTTAGTACTAATTTATTTACAGAATTAGAATATATTGTTTTCCAGAAGAGATTCTTCCAATTACCCTCACCAAATTGTACAACCCCATGATTAATCCCCCTCCCCCTGCACATCCTCATCCCTCTGCTTCCACCCTTCCCCGGATCCTTATACTCATTCTACAATAATGGTTTTATACAATATTTTTCCTATGGGACTGAGTTAGTTCACTCAGCATACTAAGTTTTTAAGAGGCTTTAAATCACTCCTGAGGAGATTGCCCATCTTTCTGCCACAGAGCAAGTGGTAGATTTCACGTGCCTTTGGGTTGGCACTAATACTAGGCCACCAGAACTCACCAAACCAATTGTTGCTGTTAGTGTTGAGTATGGCTCATAGAGACCCTATGCACAATTGAGCTGAACCCTGTCCTATCCTGTGTCATCCTTATCACCTCTGACACCCTTGAGCCCATTGATGCTGTCTGTCACTGGATCAGTCCATCTTAATGACAGTCTTTGTCTCTTTTGCCGACTCTCCACCTTTCTGTGCCAATCTTATTGTCTCCACCACAGCTAGAGCAGGCTTTAGGGCTATTGTACATAAGCTTGCTATGAGTCGCAGGCAACTCGACAGCACATGAAAACAACAACACAACCACCTTTCTAAGCATGGTATCTTTTCCAAGGAATAGCCTCTCCTAGGAACATGCCCAAAGAATCTGAGAGAAAACTTCATCATCCTTGCGTCTAAGGAGCACTCCAGATGCACTTTTCCCAAGAAATATCTGTTTGGTTTTTTAGCCATCCATGGGATTTTCAGTGTTCTTCTCCAACACCACAACTCAAAGGCATCAAGTCTTCTTCTGTCATCCATGTTCAGTGTCCAGCTTTCAGATGCATAACAAGTGATTGAAAAGACCATGCCTGAATTGGATGCATCTTAGTCTTCAAACTGATATTATTGTTCCTTGATAATGAGGAGAGGTCCTGACAGCAGACTTGGCTAATGCAATACATCATCTGATCTGACTGCTATGGCCCAGGGTGTGGATTGTGGGTTCAAGTAAGATGAAATAATTGACAATTTCAATCTTTCCTCCCTCTATCATGATGTTGCCTATTGGTCCAGTGCTGAGGATTTTTTTCTTCTTAATGTTGAGATGTAATCCATATGGAAGGCTTTAGTTAAGTGTTTGATCCTCTTGGCAAATAGCTGGGCGTATTATAAGAGAACTATGGTGGCTATTTTGCTACTCATATAAAGTTTATGTGTCTCTAGCTGTTCTAATCTACCAAGGCTCTGGAGAGAAAGACGGACAGTGTCCTCCAATTTCACATTATGGCCTCAGCAATCTAAATGGAGGGTCCTAATATGAAATGGAATCAACTTGATGGCAGTGAGTTCTAATATTTTTCTTATAGCCAATCAACTGTGTGTATCAACTATTCTGTAACATGAGAGTCAGAATTTACTTGACTAGAGAAGTTTGGTTTATTTCTGGATTTCTTTTTTAGCTTTACGATACGTAGTAGTTGTTTCTTGATTGATTGGGTTGTTTTATATGGTAAACTAAGTCTCAAACGAGCATATTCCCATTTTTAGCTATAGACTGACAAAATAACTGCCGTGTGCATTAAAGACAGTGTAATGATGGGCATAATTAAATGTTGATTAATTTTATAAAACATAATAATGGGAATGATTGTATGAAACAATGTGAATGAAGCATAGTGAGAAACACAATGTATATGAACATTGTAAGGAAACCAATATGAAAGAAAATAAAATTTAAAAAACCCTCTCTCTACTGAAATGTTTTTATGTACTTTCCAATATTTCTCTGGATCCTAGATAGACTCCTAAGGGAGATGCACACAGAGTCAGAAAAACAAACTGAGAGGAGTTTTGTGCATTTTTAAGATATTAAGTAAACAGCAAAAACTTTACATCAAGTCTTTTGGCTCTTGATCAGGTACTTAAAATTTTACAATAGCCGTGGAGCTTTAATACCATAGATCATCCATCACTTAAAAGAACTGAACACAAGAATTCCGCGAGAGAAACACAATAATCAAGACAATATGATATCGACAAAGAGACAAATAGATAAATGGCAGAAAATAGAGGACATGGGGAGGGGGAAGAATCTGGACACCAAATGCAATCCTGAGCAGCTGCAACAGCTATTTTGTGATCATGGACAAAGTCGAATATGCGATGTATTGAAAATGGAGAGGCTGGAGGGCAAAATGAACCTGGTTTTTCTTTTTATTTTATTATTTTTGTGTATGTGTACAGTCAAATCGGATCTGACTGTACAGGAGGAGATTGCCCCTCCTTCTCCAGCAGAGCACATGGTGGATTTGAACCTTGTGCCTCTAGGATTGCAGTGCTGAACCTGGTTTTTCATGGTAACCAGGTCAACTTAGATGTCTCTGCTGTCATTTTTCTTGTATGTGCAATGATGTCTTTATTACTGTAATTACTGTGGTTGAGTGGTCTACTACTTATAGTCCAGAGTTATGTATATATGTATGATCTATATCCCACCCTCTCTCCTTTGAAATACTTCCCCCCACCAGTGACTTTGCTTTATTTTTACTGAAGATCAATAGCACATCTATTTATGTTCGAAAACAGTTACATTTAAATTTATTTTTTTTTAAATTGTTGTGTACTGTCAAATTTGATCTGACTGGTATAGGAGCATTTGAACGGCTCACCTTCAGGATTGCAGTGCAGCTTTTTGCCACTAGGCTACCACAGCTCCCTTACATTTTAATTTATCTTAAAGACAGATTAAATTTAAGAAAAAACAGACCTCTCTTGAGAACTTATTTTCAAATTATTGGTACATCTTATCAAGAAATAATTGTATACCTTGCCTAACATAACATAATCTGGGAAAGATTACTGAGATAGATCATTTCCAAAAAAGAATAAAGGGTCTCCAGCTCTCTGATCTTCAACAGTATCACATACAAGCAAAATACAGCTGAAGATCATTCAAAAACTACTAGAACAGTACATAAATAGGAAACTACCAGGTTTTAGAAGAGGCCATGGAACCATTGCTAATGTCAGATGGATCCTGGCTGGAAGAAAGACTAGAAGAATATCTATTTGTACTTTACTGACTATGTGAGGGCATTTGACTGTGCGTGAAATACTTTTTTCTCTAGAAAAGTATCTCCTCCTCTTGCATACTTTTAGCCTAGAATTTAGCATACAGTATAATAGCTGTTTAGCCAGGACAGATTAAGGTGTGTCTCATCCAAGTCATGGTATTT